CACCTTCATGTCACAACTTGTACAAGCACCAACTAGAATGGATGCTTGTCTGGACCTGGTTTTAACAAACAACGTTGATCTTTTAATACCAATCAAAGGTTGCCTCTTTTTACAGAGGAGTGTGTATAACAAAAGTGCTCAAAAGATTCAAAAAGTGATTTACAGGCAGCTCAATACACTAGTGTGGAAATATCCTCTATTCCAGTGAATAAATTTAGTAGATATTGGTGCGGTGTGACACTTATAGGTGTAGGTCCTTGTCACTAACACCGCACCAATATCTACTAACGTTGATCTTTTGACCAACATTCAAGTAGGTGAGCACTTGGGAAATAGTGATCACAATATAGTGTCCTTTGAAATAAACTCAAAAAAACAAAAGCACATGGGGAATACTAAAACATATAATTTTAAAAAGGCCAATTTCAATAAGTTAAGGGAAGCTTTACAATATATTGACTGGCATAAACTCTTTAGTGAAAAGAACACTGAGGATAAATGGATCATCTTCCAACAAATATTAAAAAGGTACATTTCTCAGTATGTACCGTTGGGAAATAAATATAAAAGAAACAAATTAAAACCAATGTGGCTTAATAGAGAAGTAAAACAAGAGATTACAACTAAGAAAAGGGCATTTAAAGCATTTCAATCTGACAAATCAGATGCATCTTATAAAAGATATAAGGATGAAAATAATGCGTGCAAAAAGGCAATTAGACTTGTTAAACTTCAAAGTGAAATAATGATAGCTGAAGGGAACAAAACCAACCCCAAAGCATTTTTTAAGTACATAAATTCTAAAAAACAAACAAAATGAAAGTGTAGGTACACTAAAAACTGAAACGGGGGTGTTAGTTAATGAAGACCAGGAAAAGGCAGGAATTTTAAATAACTATTTCTCCTCCGTATATATTAAGGAAGAACCCATGGCAATAGATGTGCAAATGATTGCTACTAAAAACTTGCAGAATAATTGTAATTGGTTAACTCAAGACAAGGTGCTGCAGCAATTAAAGAAAGTTAATATAAACAAAGCTCCAGTACAAAGATCCACGTGTACTTAAGGAACTAAATGCAGAAATAAGTGAACCTCTGTTTTTAAGCTTTCAAGATTATTTTCTTTAGGAAGTGTTCCGGAGGATTGGAGGAAGGCAGATGTGGTTCCTATATTCAAAAAGGATTCAAAATCCTTGCCTGGAAATTATAGACCTGTTAGCTTAACTTCTGTGGCTGGTAAAATATTTGAAAGGTTATTAATGGATAATATTCAAGAATTCCTTGAGAAGAACATGGTTATCAGCAAAAATCAGCATGGTTTTATGAAGCACAGGTTATGTCAAACTAACTTGATTGTGTTCTATGAAGAAGTAAGTAGAAGTATAGATCAGGGTGTTGCCGTGGATGTGATCTATTTGGATTTTGCCAAGGCATTTGATACAGTTCCACACTATAGATTAGTGTTCAAACTCAAGGAAATCGGTCTAGATGAAAATGCTTGTTCTTGGGTAGAACATTGGCTTAAAAACAGAGTACAAAGAGTTGTCATTAATGGTAAATTTTCAAGCTGGACAGAGGTGGCAAGTGGTGTCCCTCAGGGGTCTGTTCTGGGACCCCTTCTATTTAACATGTTTATAAATGATCTTGAAGACCGCATTGAAAGTCATGTTTCAGTGTTTGCAGATGACACAAAACTTTGTAAAATAATACAATGTGAGCAAGATATTACTTTGCTGCAGAGGGATTTAGATAGACTGGGGACTGGGCACTCAAATGGCAGATGAAATTTAATGTTGAAAAATGCAAAGTTATGCACTTCGGCGTAAAGAATACACAAGCAACGTATACCCTTAATGGAAGCGAATTAGGGATAACAACACACGAAAAGGACTTGGGAATTGTTATAGACAACAAACTATGCAACAATGTGCAATGTCAATCAGCAGTGGCCAAGGCCAGTAAGGTATTGTCATGCATGAAAAAGGACATTCATTCTCGGGACAAGAATATAATTTTAATGTAGGTACATCAGCAGAATCCCAAATATCCTATCAATTATAAAGAATATAATTTTGCCTCTTTATAAATCCCTGGTAAGACCCCATATTGAATATGCTGTGCAATTTTGGGCACCTGTTCTAAAGAAGGATATTATGGCACTAGAAAAAGTGCAGAGGCTACAAAATTAATAAAAGGAATGGAACATATCGGCTATGAAGAAAGGTTAACAAATTTAAACCTATTTAGTTTAGAAAAACGTCGCCTGAGAGGGGATATGATAACATTATACAAATATATTCGGGGCCAATACAAAACATTGTGTGGAAATCTATTCACAAACCGGACTTTACATAGGACACAAGGCCATGCGTTTAGACTGGAAGAAAGAAGATTTCGTCTAAGGCAAAGGAAAGGTTTTTTTACTGTAAGAACAATCAGGATGTGGAATTCTCTGCCTGAGGAAGTGGTTTTATCAGAGTCCATACAGATGTTCAAACGGCTACTAGATGCATACTTGCAAGAACAGAATATTCAAGGATATAATCTTTCAATGTATGGTAATAACTGCTTGATCCAAGGATAAATCTGACTGCCATTCTGGGGTCAAGAAGGATTTTTTTTCCTAGCTTGTTGCAAAATTGTGCCTCAAACTGGGTTTTTGTGCCTTCTTTTGGATCAACAGCAAAAAACAAATGTGAGGTAGGCTGAACTTGATGGACGCAAGTCTCTTTTCAGCTATGTAACTATGTAACTATGTAATATGTATAGTGCTGTTTTAACAGATTTCCTGACAATGATTTGTATTTGCCCAGAATATATAGTCATGTAATGTAGACTGAAGGATAATTCCAGATGAAAGGCTATTTAAACGCTTTAATAGATAAAGCCGTGCAACATGCTCTAAAGCATGGGTGTCCAATCTTTTGGATTCCCTGGGCCGCATTAAGCGCAGAGGAATTGTCTTGAGCCACACATCACAATTACAGACCTATGCACACAATCACAAACCTATACACACGTATTCACAGACACACACACATATAAACACAGACCTATACACACAATCACAAATATACACACACACAGAGACCCACATACACATACAATCATAGACCCACACACACAGTCACATACATACAAACACATAATCACAGATACACACACAATCACAGACACACACACATACAATCACAGACCTATACACACACCCACACAAACACATACAATCACAGACCTATATACACAATCACAAACCTATACCCACATAATCACAGACACACACACATACAATCACAGACCTATACACATAATCACAAATATACACACAGATACCCACATAAACATACAATCATAGATCCACACACACAGTCACATACATACACACACATTATCAAAGATACACACACACTCACAGACCCAGGCATATACAATCACAGAGCTATACACACAATCACATACATACACACAATCAGACACACACAAGCACATACAATCACAGAACTATATACACAATCACAAATATACACACACACAATCGCAGACCTATACACACAGTCACATACACACACACATATAATCACAGGCACACACACATACACACAATCACAGACCCACATACACATACAATCACAGATCTATACACAGTCACATACATACACAAATAATCACATATGTACACACACAGACATACACAATTACAGATCCACAAACACATACAATCCCAGACCCACATGCACATACAATCAGACCTCTACACACAATCACATATACGCACACACATAAAATCAGACCCACATACACACATAGAAACACAGACCCACACAAACACAATCACATTCATACACACAATCATATACATACAAAAATATATTTAAATACAATCACAGACCCGCACACACACTCAAAATCACACACCTATACACACATTCACATACATACAAATACATTATCACAGACCAACACACATAATCACAGACTTACATACACACAATCACAGACATACACACAGATCCCCCCCCCCACACACACACACAATCACTGACAAAATATACACAAAAATTACATTGATACACATTTAGTACTTAAGAGGTCCACCCAGCCCCTCACCTTGCTCTGGGAGGACTGGGATGGATCTCAGATCCATTCCAGCCCTCCCAGAGCAAGGATGCTGCTGAGCCAGGATCTCTGTGTTCTTTCTGCACAGGTTCCTCACATGCCCAGTAGTGATGTTGATGACGGGATGACGTTATATCCCGGCAGTCGGCTCACTGCAGGGCGCACGAGGGAGCTATCAAGGAGGAGCACAGTATGTAAGGGGCTCCCTGCCTCCCTTACTGCCTGGCAGCCCAGACGGAATCCAGGCTGCACTGCTAGTGGGTTGGACACCCTTGCTCCAAACCTTCCAAGGGAAATCATGTCAGAGACCAAACACAGAACCAGGTAAAATCCAGTGGAAAACCCTGCTTTTATTATTAGATACAGCGATCAGTCAAACAAGTATGGGAGATATTTAGCCCCTTAACCACTGAAGGACTGAGGCAGTTGTACAAGTTTAGATCAAAACAAAACGTAAACAAAACCTTGAATTTGAACGCTAATTTTGGCCAGTGTTTGTGACTAAGTGGCTACTAAAAAAAGTCCTGGAAAGTTCTCTGGACTTTTTGCCTGGGTTCTCAGGCAGGTCCCCCAAATTGTAATTAATAAAATGACTTACCGTATTTTTCGCTCCATAAGACGCACTTTTTTTCCCCCCAGAAGAGAATGTGAAGCTTTACTTACCTGTCTTGTAGCGTGGGCCGGCAGCACAGCGCACTCCGCGGTACAGGAACTTCAATTTCAGGTTTCGGTTTCTGGCGGGACTGAAAGGAAGTGCGCACAAACAGTTTGTCCTGAGATTTACCGCAGGGCGCCTGAGACTGAGCCTCCATGATGGAGCCAAGCAGTGGAGAGGACAATGAAAGGACAGTGGACGCAATGATACATTCCGGGGGAATGATATGGGACGTTTCTTGCTCTAGTATAGCCTCAGTATCAAACTGCCTGGACAAGGCATCGGCCTTGACATTTTTAGAACCAGGTCTGTAGGTGATAAGAAAATTAAAGCGAGAAAGAAATAGAGACCATCTAGCTCGTCTAGAAGATAATCGTTTAGCATCTCCTATGTAAGCAAGGTTTTTGTGATCAATAATGATCAAAAGGGGGTCCTTGGAACCCTCTAGAAGATGTCGCCACTCCTTGAGAGCTAGAATAATGGCCAACAATTCTCTATTGCCAATATCATAATTGTGCTCAGCAGGAGACAACTTTCTAGAAAAGTAACCACAAGGACGTAACGGAGTTTCCTGGCTCTCCCTTTGGGAGAGAACTGCCCCTACCCCTGTCTCTGAAGCATCAACCTCCAGTATGAAAGGCTTACTGGTGTCAGGATGTATCAATATGTCAGCGGAGGCAAACCGCTGTTTGAGAGTTTCAAAGGCTTCAATTGCCTCCTTAGACCATATCGTACTACTAGCCCCCTTGCGTGTCATATTGGTGATGGGGCTATTACTGAAGAAAATCCCTTTATAAATCTTCTGTAATAATTGGCGAAACCAATGAACCTTTGAATGGCTTTCAACCCAGTGGGTAAAGGCCACTGTAGAACAGACTCTAGTTTTTTAGGATCCATCTGAAACCCCGAGGCAGAAATATTATATCCTAAAAACTGTACTTCTGACTGATCAAAGATACATTTTTCCAATTTACAATAAAGTTGTTTTTTTAATAAGGTTTGCAGAACTTGTTTAACGTGATCATGGTGAGACTGGTAATTCAATAGTGCCAACTCTTTTGGTTACATGCAATATGCACCTTTCATTACAATCCTTAGCCCATTCTAATATTTCCCCATTAGCCCAGTCAATATGAGGGTTATGCTTGTTAAGCCATAGGAATCCTAATATAATAGGACAAGAAGGAGATGCAATCACCTGAAATGTAATCTCTTCCTTATGTAATGCACCAATGGAAATATTAATGGGTAAGGTTTCATGCGTTATCAATGGTTGTGAGAGTGGTCTCCCATCAATAGCTTCAACAGCTAGGGGTGATAGTCTCTTTTTGATAGGTATAGTATTACCTTTGACAAATTGAACGTCGATGAAGTTTCCAGCAACACCTGAATCCATCAGGGCTTTGCATGAAAAGTTCTTTTTGTCAAAGGCGATAGAAATGTCAAGGAGAAACCTGTTTTTATTCTTTTCAGAGGACGTTTCCATTACACCTAAGACCTGTCCCCTTAAGGTGCTTAGGTGCGGTAGTTTTCCGGACGTATGGGACAATTGTTTCTCATATGTCCCTTCCTACCGCAGTATAGACATAGGCCTTCTTTTCTCCTATATTGTCTTTCTGCTTCCGACAGTCTAGTGACCCCCAACTGCATGGGTTCGGCTTTGGACTGTACAGGAATTTCAGGGACAATAGGTCTGGAGAAACAGGGTGGTAAATGCATGCTCATGCGTCTGGTCTTGTTTCTAGTTGCTTCTCTGGTTCTTAATCTATTATCAATCTGCATGACAAAAGTGATAAATTCATTAAGCTTTTTGGGTAAGTCTTTGGCGGCAATCTCATCTAGCACAGTTTCAGATAATTCCTTTTTAAATGCAGAGATTAACCCACTATTAGTCCAGTCTACCTCGGAAGCTAGGGTACGAAATTCTATGGCATATTCCGAGATAGACCGGTTCCCTTGTCTGATGTGCATCAGGGCAGTAGAGGCATCATCCTCTCTGCCTAAAGGTTCAAACGTAAGTTTGAATTCCGTAAGGAACTCCTGGTAATTGTGTGCCACACTCCTATTACTCTCCCATAAAGCAATTGGCCCAAGCTAAAGCTTTACCTTTTAATTGATTCATTAGGTAAAAAATTTTAGCTCTGTCTGTGGGAAAAGATCCCGGTGAGGCCTCAAAATGATACTCCATATGGTTAATAAATCCCCGGCATTCTTGAATATTACCATCAAAATGCAGGGGAGGAGATAGGGAGATAGTAGGTGCCGTGTGTACTATAGCTGGAGGTACACAAGGTGGAGGTGAGGCCGCAGGTTGCAGATGCGCTGTTCGAGTAGGAAGCGTACTGAAGGCCTGGGCAAATTGATCCATGCAGTGATTATTATCCTCCAGTTTCCTTTCACAAGCAGCTATGTGCTTACACAATTCTACAGGATCTATGGCCATGTCGTAATGTCAGGATTACAGAATGATCCAGCACGTAGAATTGTGTAACACAGAGGACTGATAGGTAACGTATACCGGACCTTAGAATGGCCGGACTAACGTACCAAAGAATAGTCAGGAATAGCCGAGGTCAAGGGATACAGAAAGAGACACAACGATAAGGAAAAGCCAGGAGTCAGGGATGCCAGAAAACAGGGAAGTCAAAAACAATGCCAAAGTCAAAGTCAAATAACCAGAATAACAAAAAATAAAACGCGCTCTCGGACAACCACATGGGAAACCACGACAGGGCACTGAGCAGGATGAGAACTGGGCCTAAATACCCCTCCTTTAGATCTGATAGGCTGTAACCGGCCTTTGACCCCAAAGGCAGTTACCAGGTTCTCATTTGCATAATTGCTGCTCAGCATTAACCCTTCTGTGGATTTGGTTGTTGCTCGGCACAACTTTTCATGTGTTGACAGTAAATGCCATTAACCACATTTTTATAAGCGGATGAATAAGTGACAGGCTGGACATCAACAACAGCAGGAGAGAGAACTACACTAGTACAGTGGAAAGCAAGTGACGGCCCAACTAGAGACTGCTGGAAACACACTAATAAGGATCTCCAATCTTCACTCGTATGTTGCCATATTGAGGGGATCGTGTGAGCGGGTGGCAGCATCTATGAACTATCTCTCCTTACATGAATCTTGTGAATCTTTTTAATAAATGTTTTCAAAAATTTTACTATATCACAGAGAGCACTATGTATCTCTCTCTTCTTTCATTTAGATACACAGACTGCTATTATACACTTTATAAACCTATATCAATCTAATCGTATGCACCGTATGGCATGATGTACTAAATGGTGAATTCACATATTGTATAATATTAAATAGCAATCACTACCTAGTTGGAGGCAGCAGTCTCCGGCATCGGGGAACACACTTCAGGGTTAAATCTTGCAAATGGCTGAAGTTGCTATGGGGATGGAAGTGTTACTTTAATCCCGTCACAGCAGAGCTGTCACATACGTATTTCCTGACAGTCTCTGTACAACAGGTTTGGTCTAAATGCCCTTAATATGACTGTGATCGCTGCAATATTGCTATTTCAGAATGAGGCGTCACAGAAATAGCTATTTGAAGGTCCACAAGGCAGGCAATCATGGGGGCACCTCATCATCCTCAGGCAGCCTCGGGACCTCCATTACAAGTTGTACACAACATGCTATTACTGGACAGTGTAACTCCTGAGGTTGTCACAGAGGCTGTTACAATGCACGTTGGAATAATTTGTCAATTTGCTACTGTTGGACAACTTCACAATGAGACAGTTCAGAAGTATTCCTTGATTGGCCCCCAGGCTGATCAATCACCCTGGGAGGCAATCTACTAAACTGCATAGCGTTTTTGATTAGTGTTAGGTTTAGGATTAGGGTCAGCATTACAATTAGGGTTACAATTAAGTTTAGGGTTAAGAGAAGGTTAGAAATAGCATCAAACTGATGCTGGCCAGTATGGTGACACACACAGTATCACCACTAAATAGCCTTTCTGGGAAGCAAGTATAGAAGCATGTAAAAATTAAGGCACATATCTGATATGACCCTATTCCTTTCCATCAAACCTGGCAATAAAATAAATGCGGGGTATTGCTGTAGGGATTTTTCTTAAAGTGGGATATACATGATCTGTCAAAATCACCCTGAAAACTAGGTTTTCCCAGGGTTGGCGACAAAATTATTAAATGAAAACTGTCAAAATACTAATAGTTAAATACTCTGATGGGTCTACTCTCTACAAATATTTACCTTTGTGTAGCAAATTTGGATTCGAATTTGTGACTGCTAGTAAAGTTTAAGCGGCACTGTCATGGCCGAATCCCGTTTTATTTTAACCCCCCTCCCGACTCCACTACATCTAATTGTCCCCGTAGACACCCCCCAAATGTCCCTAAGCCTATTACCTATTTTTAAGCTTTATTTCATGCCCGGACCTAGGTCCTCGGCGGCGCCATTTTTGTGTGGGTAGATGAAGTTCCTGTGGGACACATCATCTGCCCACACTAGATAGCGCTGTGAAATTCCAGCACATGCCCAATTAAACACTTGGGCATTCGAACGGGAATTTCATCTATTTATTAATTCGTCAGAAGGGGGGACCCAGCGTCATGAGCGGCGGGTGGGAGCCCTGAATGAAAATGGGGACGACGACGACCTTTGTCCTCCCCCCCACCCATGAGTGGTGGATGGGGGGCCTAAATGAAAATGGGGGGCCTATTATCCTCACCCCCGCGCCCAACTATGGACGACGTGTGGGGGCTAAGTGTAAAAATACCCCCTCCACTTCTAGTGACTGGGGGTCCCGAGCCCCTAGTCACCCCACCCACCCCCCCAATAAAATTAAGCCCTACCTACCCCCCTCATCCTAAAAATAGTGAGGGGGGTGACAATACAGCTAAATAGCTGTAAAGACATTTTTTTTAATTACTATTAGATGTCTTCTTTTGTCTAAAGCTTTATTTTTTCAGCCCCCAAAAAAGCCCAAATAAAAATCCATAAATCCCGTCGAACTAATAAAATTTAAAAAAAAGAACACAAAAAAAAAAAAATACACACCGAAAAGCTTATAAATCCATTGCAAGGCATTCTTCCCCAGGACAGATTTTCTGTGGCTGTCCAACACTCCAATGCAGCTCGATGAGAAGTCTTTGCAAGGCAATTGCTGCCTCTTGAGTTTGAACTAACCAAAACAGAAAGTAACAGGACGTCATGTCTGTAACTGGGTTAATTTATTTAAAGAAAAAAAAGCCAATTTCTATTGAAATCTGCACTTTTTGTAAAATGAAAAAAACACTCACAATGCTAAAAAAAAGCATAGCATATTTTCCCCCAAAAATACTTTTATTTACTTCAATTAAAGCTCTTCTAGGGTATCTTCTTAGCCTATAGTCTTTGCTATAAAAGCAGATCTGTCACCTTTTAGTATTTCATGAAGATATACTCTTTATAAAATACTGATCAAGACTCAGACCACGTTGGAATATCAATAAAATAAAAAAATTACATGAGACAAAGTAGGGACTACACTGTATTATGGTAAAGAGAGGATTGACTAAAGTTGTCAATAAGCGGAGTTCCGCAGTCAACATTTGTTCAGTCCCAGCAACCGTCAAAAATGTCAGCTGTGCGATTCAGACTTTGTCTATAAACGATCCTGCTAAATTGCAGGATTCTCCATAGACCTCAGGTGTTGTACACTCGCACATGCACTGAAGCACCAGGAGCTGAAAAGGACTTGCTGGATAAAGGCATAGTTTAGTGGAACACTCCACTGCCGAAATGGGCAAGAAAACAGAAATTGCTTTTAGTAGAAATACCCCCAAGGAATACATGCACCAATTTTTCATTTGGGTAATATATTAAAAGAGCTCTGCAAGCCCTCCCCTTTATTCCGAGACAGAGACTTTAAGGCTCATTACGGGGAGGCTTTTCATTAAGGAGTCTCTGAAGGTCTCCCTCTGTGTATGCATTTGTGCCCCTGTTGTGTGCCCACACAGCTTATGTACACACACACTTACATCATTCTGATCTGAGGTATGCAGAGAGGAGGCAGGCAGGATGAAGTAGGGTGCACCTGCCATGTCCATTAGCTTTGGGGAGCGAACGGATGGAGAAAGAAACCTCCCTGGCTGTCTAATTAACTCTCAAAGAAATCAGCACTTTTATAAGATACTCCTCACCCATAAAGCACTTCAGAAAGCTAAAGTGCTTTATGGGTGTGAAGAGGTCCTTTAAAATAAGTAAAACTTAACACCAATGCACCCTTTGGCAATTGGACCTATACCAGATCTATCACTTTCCTCTTTAAAGCAGAGCTGTCACTTTCTGGCGTCTTAGCATATTTCACAAAGATTCTTGAAGAGGAAGGAAAAGTATACCCCAGCCATCACTTGTGACACGTGCTGGGATTGGAGAAATGTTGACAGTGCACCTTTGCATTTTGTCAACCTTAGGCTTTACCATAAGACAAAGTAGTCCCCAACTTGTCTTATGGTTTCTTTGAATTGTGATGGAATGTTAATGATTATATCTTTATGAAATACTAAGAAGTGACAGAGCCCACTTTAATAACATGAAAAATTGAACATCCTGAAATCAGATGCAAGCACCGCATTTAAGAATAACTAAGCTAAAAAGTAACTTCAGTTACATCAGAAAAAAGGAAACATAGGAAATAAATGTATATACCATGTAAATGTAGATTACATTGTTAATAAAACTAACTTGTGTTTTATTATAAATACTTACAGGGTAACATCACATTACAAATGCATAGATACAATAATATATCATGAAGAGCGTGAATATGAAGACATTTGCATTAAATGCTCAAAACAATAGATCAGTTTACTGTTACAGTAATTGTTTTCACTCATTGTACACTGATAAAATATGATGTATGTGAGAGAAACACACATAAAATTGCTAACTCCAAGTATCAGAATTTGTATTTAAGGGTCATGAGTGCAAACAATAAGAAATGCAAAGAAAAACTAATTAACATCATGGACAGAGAAATGTATAATTTTAAAATTACAAATTAAACTCTGCAATCTGACAGATTTAGCAGAAACAGTTTAGGAGCAAATACAACTTGGCTTCATTGGCTTGTTAAATCATAATCTGCAGAAATAAACTACATATTGCTAACTTAAACTCCATGACTGTGTACTGCATTTACAAATGTAAACAATATCACAACAACAAATGAATAAAGCCTGTTACAGAATGAACACAATTCATTAAGCACTACAACACTGGGTCTATAATGATCAATGTGCAAGGAAGCATAGTAGCTCTAGATGTGCAGAAAATACTCTCCAAGTAGTTATTGCAAACACTTAGTAGTTACATTGCTGTCTTTTGTTGTGTCCTTCTCTAAATCCATCCGAATAAAGATTCATTCTGCTGAGAGTCTAAAAGAAAAAAAAGGAACCTTAAATATCAATTTAAAACATGGCTAACATAAAATAAAAAAAACTTGAAATTTTTAAATGGTCTAACTCCACACTAACTCCTGCCCACCTCTTGCAAGTTATAGGCTTAGACGTTATCTGTGAATTGCGCTTGATCAGAGGAAGTGAAGAAGAGACAATGGCAGGCAAGGTGGGAGAAGCAAAGCAAGAAGCAGACACTTGGAAGAGGTGCATTTGGCAGTGTATTAGACTGTGTTTATGTGAAGCTTCACATTTCAGTTAAGCTCAGAGCACTGCCTGTAAATGAGGAAGCTGATTACACCCATCACCAACTTTTTATGCTTGCATACGTCAAACATACTTTATGTACAACATTAATATTAGTCAGTCCATAACAGGTTTACAGCTACCAGAGGTGGAGTTGCAATCTTCAAGGGCCGGTGCTAACATAAGGTCAATTAGGCATTGGCCTTGGGCACCATCTGTGAGGGGGCATCCTGCTGCTCTCTGGGCTGGTGGGGATATCATGTAATTTTCCTGACCAACCAGGACACGCTCACTGCACATCCTGCACCAAATGTTGAACTACAGCTGCTGCAGAATTTGTAGCCTTTGAGGAGAGGGAATGTTAATCTCTTCCTTGCTGGATAAATTACACTCTGTACAGGTAAAAGTTTAGTCTTTTTTGAATAGTTTGACACTAGCCTGTGTTCCCATAGACATACACAGTCTGTCCCCTCTTCAGGTATCGCTTAAGAATGATTTCCTGTATATGCATTAGTGATGTAAATTCCATCCAAGTTTAGATGGAACTAATTGGCCGAGAATGTCAGCATACATAAAAATAGTTAACTTTAATATACTATAAGGGGGAAGTAGACACTTTCTTAAGTTATACTGGAAAAGTGCCAGACTGTACAAATACTTGGCCAAGGTAAATGTCATAAGCTTTGAAAATGGTTTGATGTTTATCTGTCGGACACCACCAAGGGATTCCTGGAACCATAATCACTAGAGGATGCTGAAGTGCTTATGGTGCTTAAAGAGCCCCTTTAATATGATAAGAAGACAATCAACTGCAGATTAGGAAAGGATATTACCCTACAAGCAAGGAAGGCATAGTTTATTTTCGGAATGTGTATTAACATATCCAGTTCTACAATTAACAACACATGAAATACTAAAACACTTACCAGTAGGGCATTTCTGGCTGCATTGTAATAGTCTCACTCTAAGCTGCTCATTTTCTGCTAGCATTTTTGTTATCACATTTAATACTGCACCTTGGTTTTCCAACTAAAAAAAAAAATAAAAAATAAAAATTATATATATATGTGCTAGTTTTCAAACTTTTGGGTCACTTAGAAATGTTCTTGTTTTCGAAAGAAAAGCAGATTTTATTTTATCCATTAAAATAACATCAAATCGATAAAAAAAAACAAGCCAAGCACTGAACTACACATCCTGTAAACCACTGCGGGACAAAGGTTAATAGGATTCTCTCAGGGACTTATAGATGAGTAGCATTTTATTGGATTTTTGCAAAGAGATATCTCCTATGGTACTTGTTCAGCGAGAATTCACCAGTTTAATATGCCAAAATATAACATATTTTCTAGTACCTTCGTTTTCCAAGCTTTTACTTTGTTTCCACCTCTTTTTAAATTAATGGAATCACATTGGTTATCTTCAGGACTCCAAACACCTACAAATAAATCAAATGCAATTAAATTAGATTTACAATATTCAAAGTGCACTATAGGCCCCCAGACCACATCGGCACTTTTTTTATTAAATAAATAAACACCTCTGGCTGTCAATCAAACAGTCAGGAAAGTTTGATTCCTGCTTCCTTTAGCTGGAAGTCTCTTCTGGGGAAAAAGGGGAAGGCTCACATAGGCTGCAGTTCACAAGAATTGCAGTTTTTGCAAGCTCTTTTAAGATATACCCTCCCCCCAATGAATACTTAAATAAAAAATACATGCATGTATTCATTGGGGTATTTCTACTAAATAGTGAGTTTGTAATGATTTTAGGTGTGGAGTAGTCCCTTAAGGAAAGTGGGTGCAAACTGAGGGTTTGATTTCAAACTTTAAGCTACATAGCTGCTGTGATCTGTCACTATAAATGGGTTACTTCAACTGTTTTTTCTCATTTTACTATTTGTGGTGATATAGCCTTATGGGACACTTGTCACTTACTTTTTGTAAAAAAACACCAAAAACAAAGGTAAGATTTTGCTCTTTTACCACTTTATACATCGTCATTACTTCCCTCTCCAAGGTGAGCTGAGCAACAGCCCGTCCACCAGGATCTGTGTTCATTATATACCAACATTAATCATGAATGTGTAATGGAGGCAGTGGGCTCCTTTTTATTATTATTATATTATTTATATAGCGCCAGCAAATGCCGTAGCGCTGTACAATGGGATCTGATGATCCTCTTATGCCTAAGAGTCAGTCTACTATAGTTTATATGATTCACTTTCTATCACAATTATTTTATTTTTTGTGACAAGTTTTATGAACAGATTAAAGCAGGACTCGACAAATCCCAGGCACCAGATTGTTATGGCAACTACAAATTTTGCAGATTTGAAGTCCTTTAAAAGTGGCAGGATGGGGGAACAATGGAGCTGGCCGGTTGCCCTGAGGATCGTGGTGGCGGCCGGCTCAAGGATCATGGAGGCGGCCGTCCTGGACTGCATGGAGGCGGCAGACTGGGGAAGCGCGTGAGGGAGCAGTAGTCTTCCTGCAACTCCTCTCTGCTCCCTGGCGCTGTATAGTGATGCCGGGAGCCGGAATATGACGTAATTTAAGCCCCGGCATCACTACAGGGAGCAGAAAGGAGCTGCAGGGACATTACTGCTCCTTCGCATGCAGGATGAGCGAGCAGCGTGTGTGTCAGTGTGTGTGTGTGTGTGTCAGTGTGTCTGTCACTCTGTCAGTGTGTCAGAGTGTTTGTCTGTGTCAGAGAGTGTGTTTTTCTGTGTCTGTTTAGGTACCTGCACCCCTCCGATCATGAGAGAGGCGTTTTTACTCACCTTCTTTCCCACGCCGTGCCGGTTTTGCCTCGGCTTGTCCTGCCTTCATGGCTGAGATAATCTGATATGATATAATATGATATGTTCATTTATGTATTGTATATTGATACATTGTTACTGCTTTTAATTGTGGTCCCTGAGGAAGTTCTTATAGAACGAAACGCGTAGGACAACTTTTTTGTTATTTATATCCTATGCTGAAATGGTGACTACACTTTTTATCTAAATAAATTTTTATTACTGAACCCTGACCTGTGGATGTCTTTTGGTGGAACAAGGATCCAGAGGTGATAAGGAATACCTGCTAGCCCCCCAATTCATTGGGGAAGGCACCCTAAGAGCGCTTTTATTGTCTACATCCTGTGAGTGCACAAGATTACTGCGCATGAAATATTGTGTTTTATAACAATATCACACTATGTTTTGTTTTATGTTTTCTCTGTAGATTTACACAGCCATATCCCGAATCTTCTTTGTTCTGGTTAATACTTTCCTATAGGTATAGCTGAGAGGTCTAGCTATCGGACTGGCAATACCTTTTCTGATAAGATTAGACAGGATATTTCCAAATCAGCGAGAATAGAAACCAAGGGACAACCATTTTTTGTTAAAGGAACACTATAGTCACCTAAATTACTTTAGCTAAATAAACCAGTTTTAGTGTATAGATCATTCCCCTGCAATGTCACTGCTCAATTCACTGTCATTTAGGAGTTAAATCACTTTGATTCTGTTTATGCAGCCCTAGCCACACCTCCCCTGGCTCTGACTGACAGAGCCTGCATGAAAAAAAAAAACTGGTTTCACTTTCAAACAGATGTAATTTACCTTAAATAATTGTATCTCAATCTCTAAATTGAACTTTAATCACATACAGGAGGTTCTTGCAGGGTCTAGCAAGCTATTAACATAGCAGGGGATAAGAAAATCGTAATTAAACAGAACTTGCAATAAAGAAAGCCTAAATAGGGCTCTCTTTACAGGAAGTGTTTATGGAAGGCTGTGCAAGTCACATGCAGGGAGGTGTGACTAGGGTTCATAAACAAAGGGATTTAACTCCTAAATGGCAGAGGATTGAGCAGTGAGGCTGCTGGGGCATGTTCTATACACCAAAACTGCTTCATTAAGCTAAAGTTGTTCAGGTGACTGTAGTGTCCCTTTAAGTTTCATTTAATGTTTGACACTATTGTGAAGGCTTTTAGGATATATTGATGCTTTTTGAAAGAAGACCCATGGTTAAAGATCGCATTACACAAGAATGATTCACTATATGCTCCCAAAAAACAAATGGACCCTTTAAGGAAAAGTGTTACCTATTTAGAGACTTGAAGTTAAGTAAAGACAAAAAAGAAAAAAACAAAAAGGGTACTATATGAAAATAAAAAAATAAGAAATATATGTAACCAAACACCAAATAGGTGAATAATAAAAATATTATACAACCTGAGAAAACAATATAACGTATTCTGTAAAATAAGTAAAAAATATATATGGTAGTATGTTAAATATAAAAAGGTCTCCCACTTAAAAAGTGGACAACTAACTCAGTGTTTAGCTACACTATGATCCAATCTGTGTGTTCTAATATTATAAAAGTGTTCAGAGAGTCTAATGTGTAATTTTCGTTTTGTACGGCCAATATATTGTGCTCCACAGCCACATTGTAATAAATATATCACATGGGCTGTGGAGCATTGAATGAATTTCTTAATGTCATATATTTGGTTAGTATATGTGCCTGTGAAAGAAAGAATCATCAAGATCTTGCCTGAAGATAATCCATCTACTTTCCTGACCCTATTTATGGAAGAAATGCTCGAATATACATCCATCTAGTGAGTTCTGTACCACCCTCACACAGATTTTTATATTTAACATACTACACCATATATATTTTTTTACTTATTTTACAGAATATTACGTTATATTGTTTTTTTCAGGTTGTATAATATTTTTATTATTCACCTATTTGTTGTTTGGTTACATATATTTCTTATTTATTTATTTTCATATGGTACCCTTTTTGTTTTTTCTTTTTTGTCTAAAGATCACATTACCCTGCAAACTACTTATAACAGTTACTAAAGCTAGACATTTAAAGACCATATTGGCCCCTTATATATTGAAGAATACAGGGGCAGCGGATAGTGGTTTAGTTATGTATACGTGCAGGGGCAACTTTTATTGTGGCCATAAAAGATTCATTACCTGTCAGCATCTAAAATGTGAACCTAAGGAAGTTATTTTCTATGCCAATGGTTCAAGTTTTTCAGTAATTGGTGTGTTTACTTGCAATAGTAGGTGTATTGTATACCTTTTACAATGCAGCTATGGTCTGTAACATATCAGCAAAACTTCTGTGTTAATGTTTTAATATTACATTTAGAATTAATATTTTTTTGTATAATTGTCCTATATCTACTATGACTTTTGGAGCACTTCCTGACAACTTGTTAAGAATACCATTTATGGCTGCTGTTTTTTAAGTGACAGCAGCTCTTTTTTATGTTATTATTTCTTCTTATTTTAGATTTATGCCTATGAAATTAGGACCTAGTTTTATCGATTTGTTTCCAGTAGTGGTAGGCACTTAGTGAGTAGCAGCTAATAGTAAAAATTAGTGACAGCATTGCAAACAAGCCCTGAGTCAGATAGGTGACCGAGTAAGTTTGGCAGCTTACAATTGCACCATGGTGCACCTGCCACCATAATGTCTACAGTGCACTGTAGTGGTTATGGTGCTTTGTGTATCCATGTAAATTTGCAATTCTGTGACCAGTTCCTGACTGATTCACCCTGTATGTACTAATACATATACAATATGAATAATAATAACCTCAGGTGTCAGACCTTTCCTCCTGGTGCTGTCTTGGCTGCTCTCCATCTCCCTCCTGGCCCTGGGCCTTGTCATGACTGGGATCTCTGGTGAGGTCGGGGGCCGGGCTCCTTTCCTGGACAGAGACAGGCTCTTGGAGCTGACCCCCAGTAGCTTCTCTTGGGCGGTACTCCTTCTCCCCCGCGGATCCTCCATGGCCCCCGCGCAGGCAGCACGATAACAGCCCACAGCCTCCGCTCTCCTCCTCCCCCGCGGATCCTCCATGGCCCCCGCGCTCTGCGTGTCTGGATGCTGACAGGTTGCTCTCGCTCCGCGCCTCCTGCCCCGCTCCGCGCTCTCTGCAGCCCGGCTCCTCGTGCCTCTATCCCCGGCAGTGATACTCCTCCCCGCTCCTTCTTTCCGGCCTGGCAGCTGCTCCTGTGGCCCCGGGGGCCCCCTGTCCGGGCTGGTTTTAGATCCCCAGGACCGGCCGCTCGGCTCTTTCCTCATGCCGTAACTCGGGGCCCCGCCGCTCACGGCCCTATAGCCTCCGCGCTGCAGGCTGTACTTGAAGACCACCCCCAGCCCGTGCTTTCCAAACCGGCTGGAATACACCGCCCGGAAGATACCCTCCCGCGAGCAGCCTGAGGGGACCGCACCCCGCCCACTGTCCATGGCCGCTTCCCGCCTGGCGCAGCGAGCCACGCCCACCCCGCTCTGTATCGAGCCACGCCCACCCCGCTCCGTATCGAGCCACGCCCACCAGGCTCCACATCTAACCACGCCCACCCCGCTAAGCATTGAGCCCCGTTCCGCATGAAAACACGCCCATCCCGCTCCGCAGCTGTAACCTAGGGGAACGAACCATTTCCCCACAGATTACAGGGGGCCTGGAATGTACCACGTGGCCTGACAGCTGCTACTGGGCCACACACCTCTTAATCCGCTTTCAAAGCCAATAGCGTGTCCCAGGCTTACTGCTAAAGTCTCTGCAGTAAAGAAACACTCCGAACAACCATCACTATCACACACACTGGCACCACAATTAAAGGAGTCAAACCAGCTGAAAACTGCACCCCACCTCTGCACCTCCTGCAGCTCCCACTAGGAAATCATCACTCATCACTCTGCTCAGTGAGCTCAGGAAGAGAGCTTTTGGCTCCAGAAGAGGAAGGTGGTTGCGCCCAGTGGACCCCATTATAAAACGGTTTGACTACTTACACCGGAGGGCATCGCGGCACTCCTGGCAACATAACCACTACAGTAGTAAAATTATTTTATATTAGCCATATTTCCTTTAAATATACAGGTAATTAAACGTAATCAACATGTGTTCAAATGATAAAGTGAAAATAAATGGCGCTACAAATTTATATTCCAAAGAATAATAAAATATTCAAAATATAGCAGCAGCCTAATAAAGTGCAATAGCGCAAAAATACTTTCAAAACAAATACCATACATATAAAATACACTGTGCCGTGGTTAGTAGCTACCAAAAGTGGTGCAAGGAAGGACAACTAGTGAACTGGCTCCAGGGTAATGGGCGCCCAAAGCTTATTGATGCACGTCAAAATCAAATTTTATTTGTATTTATTTATTACATTCAAGGTCCCAAAAACTATTGTGGTCAGTCTAGAACCCATTAGGGTTGATTCAAAAGATGGTGGGAAAAAACAATTGTAGTTATTTCCATTTATGCCACAAAAGGGGGGGAAATCCTTAATAGCAGTGGTTTAGGACTAGGATGGTCAACTTCAGTGACACAGGTGATCATTCATTTAGGCATTGGAGCTTAGCGCAAATGTAGCAGTTACCTGATGAGTAGAGGGGTTCCAACTGCTAGAGGGTGTCCTTCTCCCAAGTGTGAGGGGTATTCACAGCATTCCAGCAGTCATCCAAATTTGAGAAGCTCTTGCATGTTTTCATGACCAAAATAGTTCCACAGTTTTAGGCTGTGCGGCCAGTCTATCTTCTCCTTCAAATAAAGTACAAATTGCACAAACTGATCCGTTCGTGCATACTGTCATTAGATGCTTCTTGTTCTAGAGTTTGTTCTCCAGAAATAGCACTCCATTTGTATGGATTTAGCCGAAAGGCACGGAAGGTGGAAGTCTCAGGGGTGTTCGTGGGAATAGTAGCTGAAAAGAGTTCTATGTGTTCGACGACAAAACACCGCTGAGCGCGTTCGGCTAAACAAAATGGCTGCCGCCACATGTTTATTCATACGAACGCTCACACAAACACCGACCACCCAGTTGATCAATTAGAACGTTGGGGTGTTCGTGGTTTTGGAGGTGTTAATAAGGTTAGGGAGGTTAATAGGTGCCACACTCCTGTTCTGGGTGGTCGGTCGTTTGGTAGAAAATTTGTGATTCGAATTTGTGATTCGAACAGCCCTTAGCCCAATAAAGTCATTTCAAACAAACAATTTTTCCAACAATTTAAAAATCAGGGACAGAAGGTCTGTCTCAGGCATCCTCTCAGTGCTGTGCCAGTGTTTGTGTAATGCTTGGCAGGAATCATAGTAATTCATTAAAGGGTGAGTTGCAAAAGATTTAGAAAGGAATTTTAAAATGTAGGTCAGCCATAGGCAACCTTTGGCACTCCAGATGTTTTGGACTACACCTTCCATGATGCTTAGCCAGCATTATAGATGTAAGAGCATTATGGGGGATGTAGTCCACAACATCTGGAGTGCCGAAGATTGACTATCCCTGATGTCGGTCAAGAAAGCTAAAGTGAAAACACAACTGACTAGTAGAGATTTTTAAGTTAGACTATTATGGCCTAAGATTTTACATTCAGTTCAAATTTTCACGGTAGTGATTAGTACCAAATGTAAAACCCTAAACATTTTCTGGTGAAGTTTAGAAGAAAATCTTTGATTTAATGTTTGGTGCGTGATTAAAAATAAAAAAGCCACACTATTGAGGTATGTACAAATAAGTTTATATTCTGCAAACCAGGTCCCACTGAATCCAACATATAATACACAGCATAACTGGCATGGTTGTTTCAAGAGAACAAACAAAACTGTAAAACAAATTGTGGATAAAAGGAGTATATTTCCAATGCTTTTTTAATCTTTGCTGAGATCTAAGTATGCATGCAATCAACCCTGTATATTGTACCCTGATTACTATATTTTTTTTATTTTAAAACAATTGTCATATGGAATATGATATGTCAATTTCTCATGCTTTTCCAAAACTTTTTTGGTTCCGCTTTACTAGTCCAATTCATAGCAGTTTTCCAATCTGACACTGGGTGGCAGCATTATCCATGTAACGTTCTGAGCCACTTAACTATGTGGGTCATGAAGTACTACAGTAAAATGGTTGAAGCCAGTGTACTGTTCCTATGGAAACAAATAAATGATCTCCACTTAAACATACAACGCATAACAACTGTGTAGTAAGAGCATTGTTCTGGCCAGAAAGAAAAAAAATCAATACACCTAATACTTATACAATATGTATATATATATATATATATACAATGTTTATATAGCATTTTTTGGTTGCTTCCCAACATTTATCATAGTTCCGTAGTAATATATGCTGACAAGAGGGTTAAGTACATCATGTTCAAATGTTAACATATTCCTGTCACTGCTGTTGATCCAAAAAAGGAACAATAAACTTGACCTGATTTTGTGTGCAAAAAAAAGAGAAAAACATTTTGACCTCATAATTACAATCTGACTTCTCCCCGTATCAACAAAATATTATCGCTATTGTAATTGCTAATATAAATATTATTTTACTCACATGTATATCACGTCTTCGCATTCAGCACTTTTAAAATGCATCTACTGAATTAGCTAAGACAACCTCTTGGGATGGAAAATTACACCCCATATACACTTACTCTTAAAGTTTGAGAATGACAAATGACAAGTTTGAAACATTGCCTTTCCCTGTTATGCCTCTATACAAAGTGCCTGATTTCTACAGAGAATAGGCTGTTTGCTGCTTTGTGTAACTGAATGTTGTCAATGTGTCAAAACTGGATTTAAGTCGCATTTTTACCTTTAAACGTTGTAACCATTATATAAGGATTGTCTTTAGTACATATTTTAGAATTCTCACTTTCAGTAGCGTGTCAGGTCCTCCAGCTATTTTTCTTCCATTACTTGGAAGTACCATCTGAGTTTTTCCTACATGTCAGGAATGTAATAATTAATATGTTTAAATGGTACGTTTAGATCTAGACTTTTCTTCATCTTTGTAATTGAGATATTCATTCAGCCTCCTTGTCAATGTCTCCATCAGTGTGAAATGGTGTTATCATTCCTGTTGGTTTTGCCCTCTTCTTAATATGAGTGCGCCATCTACTCAAAATGCTGGTCTCATTTTCCTTCTCTCCATCTTTTCTTTCTCTTTCCAAAAGCCATGGCAAATAACGCTAGGGAAAGTCCATAGGCGTGTCTTTATTAAACACAAGGAACATCTTTCGTTTTTAGAACACTCACTTTCTCATTGAGTGAGTCTGACGTAATATCTCCATCATAAAACCGTATTAATTTCCACTAATGAGATTCTTGTCCAACAAATATACATGAATATCTGTGCCTAATAACTCTTGAAATATTTCCCAACGGATAAAATATTTATAATTTGGTCATTTCCTAGCTGAAATGTGGATCCCTCTTTGAAGTAAACACACCTCATTTATTCCACATAACATAGCTGCTGCTGCATAAAACAAAACAAACAAAAAAAATTGAAGGCTATGAATAATGGTTTAGCTATTACTATACTAAGCTACTTGTGTACCTGTGGGTGTATAACATTAGTATACCATTAGACCTGGGGCCTAATTGTTATCTACCATAACAATTTTCAAATGGATGTAGCCCTTTATTTTGTTGTCAATCATATACATGCAACATTAACTTGAATATTTGCAGTGATAGGTAGTTTATTGCTACTTTAGGTACCAGTGCTAGTGGTGTGAGGGATGGATTTTTGTAAGACCAAATTGCTTTAGAGGTGTTCTATTAGACTACCAAAAAAAGTATATCTATAACCATATAATTTTGTCCAATAATTTTATCCAATATAATTTTAGAGTTCATCTGTAGATTTTACTAATGGCCATTTTCTACGATAGATATTAACATTACATTATGTGAGAAAAAGTATATAAAGACAGGTCATCATAATCACAAGAATATGTGAGATGGTGAAGACTGCTTTATGGAGAGCCTACCTCAGAGCTACACTATAGGGGGTAACCCAAGAAAAATATAATAGAATAGCGGAGACCCTTGAAACAAGGGGATCCCTGGAGTAGCTGCTGAACACAGAGACAAAGCAGTATAGTAACCAAATGATAAGTAGAAAAAGGAAAAAAAGGGGGTATATTAATAAGTGGATAAAGAGGTAAAGGGGAATGAGTGAAAAAACCCATATACACTGTATTACTGTCCACTACTAATTATACAGAATAACAGCAAGAAAAAGTCCCTAGTGGAGTAGAAGTCTAGCCCTATACACTAGTACAAACCACCGAATCTAGGGCACCTAAGCTGTATACAATGCCCCACTGGTATAAAAGCAGGTCAAAGGAACCT